TATATATATATATATATATATATATATATGTATTGTATGTATGTATCTGTGTGTGTTATATGTTATTTATTTATTTATAAATATATTATTCATTTTTCCTTTTCATAAATGCTATGCTATTTATTATTTCATAAAAAAAATTATATATGATGAAAATAGTTGAAAAGATAATTGTATTTTTTGTTTTTCTTAATTTAAATTGTTATATTTTAATTTTCTTTTAATGTTTTGTTATTTTTTAAATTAAAGTGGAGAAAATTAGATCCAAATATCTGACTTCCTCATTGGATTCATATTCAAATCGATGTTTATGAGATGTAATCAGATCTATTGTTAATAGTATTGGATCATATTCGGATATACCCTAATTCAAGTCCGATCCAATCCATTTGCATCCCAGGTAGGCTTATCAATGATATTTGAAACTTCACAGCTCAATCCAATTGTCACATATTTGGATGAGGTGTTTATGTAATTAGATTTGAATTTTACAATCTACATTCAATTAATAATAAAAAATAAAAAATATAAAAAATAAAAAATACATAAAGTTTATAAAAAAATTTGGATATATTATTAATATCATCATCATCATATAAAATTGCCATATACAAACTAGTCTATATAAATACCATAACAATCTTATATCTATATTATATTAAATGGATATTTGCTTTGGTTTTTGGTGCAAGTTGTAAAAGCTTATATAACTTGTGTTTTTACTTTTTACTTATTTGTACATGTGCATGGTACTTATTTTGCATCGTCAATTAATTATAGGTTAATTATACATAGTTGATCTACCACTCCCGTGCCCTTTTTAGCTAGTTTTATTATTATTTTTTTAAGACTTTCTGTGGATACTTTAGTTTTAAAGAAACAAAAAAATGAGAAGACAAAAGGCAACGAGTGAGAGGAGAAGGGCCACATAAATATAGGGATGTCAATGGATCAGTTCTATTCGAATTGAACCAACCGAACCAATTGTATTGGTTCTGAATCCATGATTTTGTCTTGATTAATAATTGGGTTAACCAATTGTTTTATTAAATATATATAACATTTTGCTAATTATATTATAATTTTTATTATATCTTTATGTTTGAAACGGTAACTTTGATAGATAACATATATCATCATGACATTAGTAGAAAATACTTAATTTATTAACATATAATTAATCTATATTTTATTATTATTACTTTAAATTATATTATTAAAATTTATATTTTAAGTTATTATTTAAATAAATAAGTTTAATTTTCAAAATAATTGAATTTACCGCTTGTGTGTGGTCTCACTACTTATATATTATATAAATAATTAAAATAAGATATACAAAATAGCCATATATAAGATGTGTTTGGAGTTCATGTAATCGTGTTCATGCTTATTTAACTCAAATCTATTCGGCCTCCCTCCCACTCTCACACGTTACAGTCATGCCCTTCTTTTCCATCTCTCGTTCTGTTCTTCGGAGCAGCACCAGAGGCAGTCTCTCGAGGCTTTCTTGGGTTTCGAGTTCGCAGAACAGATCAATCAGCCATGGCGTCTTTCACAATAAAAGTGACAACTCTGAGAAAATTGATACAAGCGCTTACAACTTGGGTGGAGGCACTACTTTTATGCGTGGAACGGTCTTTTGGGAACCCAACAAACCTCTCACCATCGAAGAATTTCACATGCCTCAACCCAAAGCTGGGGAAGTTCTCATCCGAACAAAAGGTGTTTTTTTTTTTTGTTTTTTTTTAATTTAAAATTTTGATTGTGAAACGAAGTTATGGAAACCTAACACACTCTTCACTGTCTGAGGTCACTCTTTTTTGCTACTTTCTTTTCCTTCTGTTGGATTATGGATGGAGAGTACTAATAGAATGGGTTGGATTGAACGCAAAATGGGTTCTTAAAATTGCCAGGTTTGTTCACAAATTTTTCTTTTGCTACATTTCAGTATGCTTTATAAGTATTATCTTAAATCTACTTTGGAGGAAAGCTGCAATGTCTGCATGTTTTTATGCTAACATTTATTGGTTCTGCTGAATCAGTCGCGTATTTGTTGCAACTGCGCTTGATTGAACTGCTAATTTGTTCAAACTCAGGGAGCACCAGAACCCAATCCGAGACATAGTGCTTGATTAAAGGCACCTCGATAGTTTTGGACAACACCCTCTGAAAGACCCTTGACGACCAAATCCGACCACTTGTCACTGCCCCCACTCCAAATTTCTTCCTTTAGGTTCTTGTTGACTGACTCCAATTTTATTTCCTGTAAAAGAAGTGCCTGGTCTGTAACTCCTGAACACTAATGCCTTTTTTTTTCCCTCCTCCAGACCTCTAACACTCCAACTCACTATCCTTATTCTTAATACCCTACCTTACCCCTGATATATGCTGAACTCCAGCTCCTTACATATCTTATCCAGCACCTCCTCCTCTCCCCCTTCTTCGTCCCAACCTCTGTTCTTTAAAAGACTTTCCTCTCTCTTATTCTTCTCTTCCCTCCTGGCTTTTTTGAACTGTTCGGAAGCCCTCCAAAATCTTCACCTCACCAGAAAATCAAACCCAAAGATTTACACACTGTCCCTCCTTCTCAACCAAAATATTAATTTTCCAAAACACTCTTATGCACCCCTTCCGAAACCCCTTTTTGATAAATAAAGTAATTCATTGTATTAATTTAAATTAATAAGTGAAAGATGATACAAGCAGACTTAGAGAGGCACGAGCTGTATACTCTCCAAGGCAAAAATCAAGCTACAACTGTGCCCAATACAACTGGTCCCTGGCTACCCCTTGCTTGGCTAGACAGTCAGCCATAGCATTGACTGACCTCCCAATCCATTGTACTCATACAATCAGATCCCCTGTTAACCATTTGAACCTCCTGGCTTCATTCTTGTAACACCACACTGCAGACTTAGGATTCTGTAGCCAACTCACTACCACCTTGGAATCTCCTTCAATTAACAGTTGTACCACTCCTAACCGAATAGCAAACTGTAGAGTCACTTGAATTGCAGCTAGCAACTCTGCCCTCGTGGAGACCCCAATGCCTAGAGGGCCCAAGAAAAGAAGTACCACATTTCCATCCTCACCCCTTCTGAAACCCCTTGTTCCCCTTCTCTCCCCTTCACCACTACCTCTTTTTTCCCCCTTCTATTCCTTTTTTTTTATCAGTAAATTCACGATTCCCCCTTCTATTCCTCCCAACAACCTTTCCTATGCCCCTCTCTTAGGCTATGTTTGGTTTGAAGGAAAAAGTAGGGAAAGGAAGGGAAAGGTAGGGAAACCTATACAAATCTTGTATAGGTTTCCCTACCTTTCCCAACTTTTTCCTTCAAACCAAACATAGCCTTAGTGTTTTAAAAGCGCAAGGCGCAAAAAAGGCATAGGGGCCAATTTGTGCCCGAGGTGTGTGCCTTTTTGAAGCAAGGTGCAAAAAAAAAAAAAAGGTTAAAAAAATAAAACAAATCCAAAAATTCAAAAAATGTAAAAAATAAAAAATATAAATTAAATTTTAAAATAAGTGTTTTAAAAAACATATTATCTAAAATTAAAATACATAAACATAACATGTAAAGCGTATTCAAATGAGAATTTAAAAATAAAATCAAACATATAAAACATTTTCCTCAGTTGCATTACTTCAAGTAGCTAATGTGATGTAAAACATATTATATTCTTGATTCTGTGAGCCACCTTTGTGCCACAGTCCTCAACCCAAACAAGTCCATGTTAGGGTCTTAAATTCTTATTTCTCACACAAAAGTAATGATTTTATAATTTTAATTGCCTTAAGAAGATATTTTATTAGGATGAATGAATGAACAACATTACCAAATAGGATGAATGGTGCGCCTTGCCTTGAGGGGTGTGGCATGGGGGTCCGGGGGCGGAGCCTCGTCCCATCTGCTAGGTTCAAAAAAGCAAAAAAGCGTCCAATTTTCAAAAGGCATATGCCTTGGCTGAGGCACAAGGCGCATCAAGCACACACCTAGGTGCACCAGGAAGGAAAACTATTGATTCCTAGGTTAAGATGAGACTATAGCACAATACTGCATATTCCTTGCTCGTTAATAAAGCACATGATGTAAAGCATCAGGGCACTTTCTTTTCTTTTCTTTTTATTAATTAATTTATTTTTATTTTTGAAAGATCTTGAATATACAATTGGGACATTTAAACCTTGTCTCTCCATGGAATGTAGTCATTCTAAAGATTAAATACTACTAAAGGTTACATTTAAGTTTAACAGGCTAATCGCTATTGTAATATATAAAATGTTAGGGTGATATTGAATATTTAAAGTTGAAATATGATTTCTTCTATGCACATCATAGTTCCTCTCATTTCAGAAAGTTTATCTCCTGTTTTTTTTTCCAGTTTTTCCACTTGTGTTAAGTTGTTGATCACTTCTTGTTTGCTTTCCTGTTACCTTAGTATCACACGGTGGTTTCTGAATTTATGTAAATGCAGCCTGTGGTGTTTGTCACTCTGATCTTCATGTTATAAAGGGTGAGCTTCCCTTCGCAAGTCCTTGTATTGTGGGTCATGAAATAACTGGAGAGGTGGTTGAACATGGTGCACATACTGATAGTGGAATCATAAAGAGGTATTTAATGGAATGCTATTATTGTTTCCTTGTGTTTTATTTGTCAGATCTAGAATATTGAGTTAACCATATATTTATGCATAAACAATGCCAGTAAACATGGATGATTCATTGACTTGTTAATGGCTGTCTATATATATGTAGATAGATAGATAGATAACTTGTTATTTCCTACATAGCTAAGGTAGTTGCAGTTCCCCACACGAAATGGAAGCTATTCATATAAGAGCAAATAATTATTCATGACATTATAAATTTTCTATAGTTTTTGAAGTTGTTCATTCAATCCATGAGAAAAGAGAAGATAGAGAAGAGACAAAAAGAGTGGAGCCAAAATTAGTGTCGGTGGCAGCCTCATACATTATTATATTAGGGTGATCAAAAAAGAATGATTACATAAGAAAACAATACAAGTGGACAGCATAAATAACACTCCCCCACAATTTGGGTTATAGATGTCAATCATTCCCAACTTGTTGCATGGTTCACTATGACGAGGGTTAGTTAAACCCTTAGTAAGTACGTTAGCTAACTGATTTGCAAAATTAACAAATGGAATACATATTTCACCCATTTCTTGTTTCTCTATAATAAATTGCTTATCCACTTTGATGTGCTTGATTTTGTCATGGAGGACCAGATTGTGAGGGAATGTTGATGGCAGCCTTTTTGTCATAAAAGGTAGACATGGGTTTAACAACAAGAAGGCCCGGCTCCTGGAGCATATTCTTCACCCATAACATCTTAACAACTCCATGTGCCATAGCATGCTATTCAGCCTCTATACTTGATCAAGCCACCACTATTTGCTTCTTACTCCATGTAACATGACTACCACCAATAGAAGTACAATTAGCAGAGGTTGACCTTTTGTCATTGGTAGAACCAGCCCAGTCAACATCGATATAAGCTTCAACTCTTAGATGCCTATTGTTAAGATGCTTCTTCAAGTACTTGAGAACTCTTTCTACTACAACTAGGGATGGAAATGAGCCGAGCTTTTCACGAGTTGCTCGAGCTCGGCTCGGTTTCAACCGAGCTCGAGCCCAATTCATTGGCTCGATTATTAAGGCTCGCGAGCCGGCTTGAATATATATATATATATATATATTTGATATTTAGTATATATATAATATATAATAAAATTATAGAAAATAATATATATAATAATAATAAAAATATTACAATTATTAATTTTTAAAATATAAAATATTTTTTTATATATAATTTTTATTTTTTTAAAATGTTTTTTCTTAACATTCGGCTCGGCTCGGCTCAAATCCACCTCTAGCTACAACATGTGTAGCTTTTGGAGCTTGCATATACTGGCTAAGAGCGCTCATTGCATAGGCAATATCTGGCCTAGTCATGGATAAGTACAATGGTCTACCAACCAACCTCTAGAACTTTTTAACATCAATAACATTCTCCCTTGTGCACTCACCCAATCTACAGTTAGAGTCAATAGGAGTGTTAGCCAATTTACACCCCAATTTCCTTGCATCTTGCAATAGATGTAAGATGTACAATTTTTGGAAATGAAGACGACTCAACGACAGAATAAGTGACTTCAGTGCTTTAAGCGATGGATGACCGTCTACAGTGCCACTGAAGAGGAGAAAATTGAAGAGCTGTTGATGAACCACCACCACCATCAAGATAATATATAGTCCACCAGCTTCATGCCCTCCACCAATCTTCATCCCCGTCTTGAGATCCTAAAAAACATAAGAAGAAGGGTAAAAGGTGATAGAGCAATTAAGAGACTTGGTTAGCTTACTAACAGACATAAGATTAAAAGGGAATTTGGGAACATACAAAACTAAGGGTCCGTTTGGTTTGTAGTCGGAATCGGAATCGAAATCCTCTGGAATCAGAATCGGAATGGTCCATTCCCATAGTCTGTTTGGTTCGTACAGGAATGGGAATGGGAATTAAAATCAACAGGAATGGGATTTCATTCCCAAGGGAGGGGCAGGGAATGACCATTCCCTCAAATGGGGGAATGCCATTCCAGTAGGAATGGGAATGGGATTCCAATTCCGCCCAATCAAACAGTTGGAATCGGAATAGCCCATTCCAATTCCGATTCTAGACCCCTATTTTTGCAAACCAAACGGACCCTAAGGATAGGGATAAAGGGTCTATGTCAACATTACTAACACCACAAATGGAGGATGTGGAACCATTATCAAGGGTAACAGAATGTGATGTGGATCACTGTGAAAGGGAGGAAAGCACACCTTGAGTCCCAATCATATGATCGGAAGCTCCAGAGTTGATAACCCAAGAGGTGGGTTTGGATGCCAGACAAGCCATACCTGAATGTGTGAGAGTAGCTGTATTTTGTTGAGAGGTGGTCTGGATAAACGACTCATACTCATCACGTGGGACACTCATCATCTCCTTCCTGGAGGCATCCGTAGATGTAGAGGGCATCTGATCAACTTGTTGGATATCCTGTCTTGAACTACCATCATTGGCCACTTCATGATTTGCCCAAGTTGAAAGTGGGCCATGCAAATCATAACAAAAGTTAATGGTGTGCCCTTCCATACCACAATGTGTACACCTCCTCGGACCATTACTACGTCTTCTGCCATGAGCTCCCCCTGAATCTCGACCTCCAACACGTCCACCACCACAACTATACATGGGTCCACCACCACCACTACGACCATACATGGATCCACTGCTACCACTACAACCGGGCTGAACTCCCCGAGCTCCATTTCTAACACCATGGCTTCCCTCTCTCGTCACTACAAAGGTAGACTTGTCAGAGATATTAGAATTCTCTGTGGGCCCAACGGAAATCCTCCGAAGACGGGCAAACACATCTTCTAGAGACGGAAGAGCTGACCCTCTTAGTATCTGTACTCTCACTAGTTCATATTCAGATTTCAGCCCTACTAAAAATCTGGTCACATCTAGTTGTTTTCTCTGTTGTTGCTGAATCTTAACATCAGAAGTGAGGGGATGGTACACATTCAACTCGTTACGAAGGTTCCTCATGCTAGCATAGTACTCCTCAAGGCTCTAATTACCTTGTTGCAGATTAAAGTACTCCTGATAAAGCTGATACACTCTAGTAGTATTGTCTTGTCCCGAGTGCAATTTCTTGGCATGGGTCCAAATCTCCTTGGCTGTATCTAGGAAAATAAAATTCACACTGATCTTGGGTTCCATACTATTCCATAACCAAATCATAATCTGTGCATCTTCTTGTTCCCAATCACTATACTCTTGATAGTTAGTGGGAGGTTTTTCTTCTCTTACATGCTTCACTTTTTTCTTAGCTCTAAGAAAGACCTCTATAGATTTCGCCCAAGGCACATAATTCTCCCCATTCAACTTGATAGAAGTCATCTGAACATTTAGGTAGTCGTGGGAACCATAACACTAGATTTGTGTTCACTACTGTCTCCCATCTCTGAATTCCTTTTTTTTTTTCTCGTATATCAAACTTCTAAATCACTTTTCACCACACTACACACTAGTGAAACCACCTACAGTCACAATTTTCAGCAATACCTGTCGCTGGTTTCTTCACTTTCAGCACCACAAAACTACAACACAACTACCTGAATAAACACCATAACACTAGCAACTCACCAACCACTCGATCCACACTGAAACACACATATAGCCCACCTATTTGATCACCAAAAACCAACCTGACACTCGACTGTCCCTTGCACCACCTAAAACAGCCCCCTTCGTACCATCGATTAGAGGGATTCCTACAAACCACCACAAACACCCACTAAACCACTGACAAGAGGCATGAAAATCTCCAAAGGGAAAGGGCGATCACTCCTTTTCAGCCCTTTTCCCTATCTCCAACAGATGATGAAGAAAACTGTAAAACCCTAGGCTGAATGGCGATAGAATAGAATTCTGGGCAGATCTGATTTTGTCACAGTGGCTCTGATACCATGATAAAGTTCAGACCTGCACTAGATTTCTGTTAGAAATATTATTAGAGGAAGATTAGAAGAGACAGAAAGAGAGAAGAAGAGAAGAAGAGAAGAGACAGAAGAGAGAAGGAGAGAAGAGGAGAAGAGAAGAAAGGAAAAGGAGAAAACTGGTTCGAACAAGAGAAAAGTCACTCTCTCTAGTTGGCCAGGTTATATTTATATGTTTCTATTAAGTAAAACAAAAGATTATTATGTCCTCACTTTAGTATGGGACACATCACTTAACATAAACATTACACATCGGCTTAAACATAAATAGAAAGACTAAACTACCTCTATACAGTCGACACTATTAATAGCATAGCAAATAAATTATAGTTTCAGCTGGGTGAGAATTGCAGACGGGGTGGCAGATGTTCTAGCTTAACTGGGAGTTGATAGACCTAACTTATTCTGGGCAAAAATGTAAACTCTTATGACTAGGCTATGTTGGAAATCTCCAACAGTTGTACTAAGTTTTTATTTTAATTTATTAATGAAATCTTTTTGCTGATCAATAAACAAATAAATAAATTATCTTGGCTTTTTTGTGGAGAGTGGTGATATGATGTTCTTGTATAGTCCTCTTGCTTGCTGAATCTCCCAAATTTTCTCCTATTTCAAATCTGAAAATTCTTCAGTGCCTTTGCAAAGCCCTTAAGTAGATAGGCCCTTTAAATCGCAAAGCCCTTAAAGGATTGAGTTTCAATACATCTATATAGCCATGCATAATTTCTAATATATTGGAAAAATTGTTTTACTTTCAGGTTTCCTATTGGAACCCATGTTGTGGGAGCATTTATTATGCCTTGTGGAAACTGTTTCTTCTGTGTAAAGGTGATTTTTGTTTATCTACTTTTTTAATCTTTCAGGCTGTGATTTCCCTTGGATTGGTGATACTTGTAACCGTAAATGAACTTTGATCACAACTTTGATATCACTAATATTTGAACAAGAACAGGGTCAAGAAGATCTATGCGAGGCTTTCTTTGCTTACAATCGGGCAAAGGGAACACTTTATGATGGTCAAACCCGGCTGTTCCTCCGCAGTAGTGGTAAGGGTTTACCTACAGCCATTGTACTGCCCAGTAGTTGTACTTGCTTGTATCATATACCATCTTAACATTTTCTTTATCATTTTGATTGCTTTATTGGAAAGGATTGTTGTTTTAGCATTCAGGAATTGTTATCCTGCTTGTCTTGTAACACCCTCAATCCAATATTCCAGATAGAAATACACACCACCAACTCCAGCAAAGAAAATTTACTCCTTTTCCATGGCATCATGAGGCTCAAAAAGAGGTACATCAATAACAACTTGATCCTTTTTCTCCAGCTTCAGAAATGGTCTTCTTGCAAAATCCTCACCTCCCAAGAACAAAAGTCTGAAAGTTTTCTTGAACTTCCTTTTCAATTGCTTCCAAAGCAATCTTCTTCTCTACCTGTCTAACCACCTTGACCTCTTTTTCTCACTTTCTGGCTATAGCCTTTTATCTTCAAAGTATCTCCCTAATTCTTCACCAACATCCTCTTTAGCGTCAACCACAAAAAATTCTGAACTCGCCCCCATTGACTCCCTGCCCAAATGACATTGAAGCTGATCAGATTTCAAGCATTTTTTACCAGTATTACAGTATTGGTTATTGTTCTTCAGACCCTTTTTAGAACCTTCTTAAACTAATTACACAGACCTGCCCCATAAAGACCATCTTTCCTTTGAGAGAAAGTTTTGGTTATTGTTCTTCAGACCCTTTCAGGGATTGCTGGATGAGATCTCAAAGGCGATACATACTAATAAGTCAGCAAGGTTGATACCATTCAGTGAGAAGAAAGCCATTATGGAGTTGGGTGACATGCAGACTGACGTCACAAGGTTGAGTAATAGGAAGGTATGGTTCTGATTGAAACTGGAACCCATCCTGCAATGAAAAGGAGTTGAAAGAAGGAAGTTTCGAACTTAGAGTCTTTGGTCTTCCTTTTAATATGTGGATGGACCAAGTGCTGGACATGATCACCGCTGTTTGTGGAGGAGTTTTATAAGCTGTGAATACTACTGATCTTCATGCTGCAAGATTGAAGGTTGTGGGAGCCAAGCAGGAATCTATCCCACGAGCAATTGAGTTGTCTACTGATGGGCGTTGGAGGAAACTGTGGATTGCTTTGGAAGTTGAAGTGGCTTTGTGGGGAGAAGGGAGAAAGGTTGAAGATGATGCTGACGTGGCAGGCTGGAGGCCATGTGGCAGAGGAGTGGGTGGTAGGGTGGAGTCATTGGGTGTGTTAAATGAGGAGTATGGAAAGGCAAAGAAGGGAGAGGAAATATCTCACTATCCACCTAAAGCAAGGAATTTGAATCCTTTTGAATTATTTCAATTGGTGGAAAATGAAAAGCCATCTTACATGGAAGCCCTTAAGAAGAGTGGGAAACTGGAGTTGAAGGAAGTAAACCCTAGGTTGTCCCATCTGGTTGAACTGGGAGATGGGCCAGCCTTACGTGATCACTTAAAGATCACATGCCAGAATCAGAAGCTTAAGCTGATGGGGGACGATAGAGTGGGTCTGTCATCGTCCCCGTCGAAGGTAAACAACTCTTAGGGGTTGAGCGTACGATTGCTATGTTGGGTTAAATATTTCCCTCCCCACCAAGATTGACCAAATCCAAGGTATACTAGAAACAAAGATGGTTGGAAGGAGGAGGACGGTGATAGAGCTGTTAAATGAAAGATTTTAGGGGCAGAAAGAACTAGACCATTTGGTAAGTATCCTAGTCTACCATGACCTATAGAGCTGTTAAATGAAAGATTTTAGGGGCAGAAAGACAATGAAGCTTCCAAGTTTTTTGCCATTTTGGGCTTCCATAAGGTTTTTAGGGCATAGATCTTTCTGGCTTCCTGTCTTTTGTTGCCAAACAGAGAAAGACCAAAAAGCTTTGAAAAGCTCGAAAGACCACATGAAAAGACTTGCCAAATGCCTCCCTAGTATTGGCAGTGTAGAAAGACCAAATTTTGGTCTTCCAAGCTTTCACTTGTTTGATTTCTTCACTTTGGAAAGAGTTAGTTGTGTGCAATATGGAGAAGGGGATGAAGGCTGCAGTAAGTAGAAGCGGGTTGAAGGCCTAAAAGATAGTCTAGAAGGGGTGCAAATTGGATTTGACAGTGGTGAAAACAATTTAGCCTAAATGAAGCAAAGGGTACATGATGGCCGAAAAGGAGGGGAACCATTAGCAAATCCAAGAACAGGGTGCCCAGATGATGGAATTGCAGTTGAACCAGAATATGAGCACCAAATTACCAGTTGGGGATACAAGATTGAGTTTGGAGAAGGATGCACACATGGTTACTTTCTAAACTATTAGAGATATGAATTGAGAGTTGGAACAGGAAAGTAACCAACTCAGGTGCCTCCGCAAATTGTGTTCAAGTCTTTGCCCTCTTTAGGTACAGACATACAATTGACTCTGTCAATTCTGGTTTGGGTACTAACTTCTGTGTAGATGTGTTTGCAGATTCTTTGGCTTCCAGGTCTTTGATAAGTCCAAGCAGTGTTAGTGAATCCTCGAAAGGTAATAAGGAGTTTAGATGGGTGAATGATGAAGGGAATACTAGACAGCTAGGAGAGGAAGTGATTGAAATTAGTAAAGGAAGATAAGGGGATGGAGGCACAATATAGGGGGGGGGGGGATTTGGGGGAACAGTGAATGGCAAAGAGATTGAGGAAGAAGATGTAGAAAATGTTTCTAGTAGAAGGGGGGGGGGGGGKCTACTGATTTGGAGGTGGAGGAAGAATTAAATTCAGGAGAGAGATTCAGCTGGGCAAGATTTGGTGGAGTAGGCCGATAAAATGTGACCGAAAGTGAACCACCCCAATGAATGAGGTTGAGAAGTAATCAATGATGTAGAAGGAGATAAAGAGTTAGTGCAAGGGAAGTGAGAAGAAAAGGAGGCCTGTGAAGGAGACGGAAGTAATCAAGCCTCTCCTTGCAATTTCTGATAATATATCACCTGTGAAAAATCAGCAAATGGCTCCAAAGATTTAACCCATTGAACCCCCATAATATTGATGGTCTCAATAATAGCCTCTCTGCTTCTTTGTTTATCTGAGAATATCCTTGAATTCCTTTCCTCCCCAATGGTCCAACTCAAAGCAGCCCATGGACATCTCCAAATCAATCTGCCCCTCTTCTTTATGGGGGGTTCCATCTACACCTAAACAAGGAGAAAAACCATTCCCATATGAAAATGACAAAGGGGTAAGAGATTTATGAATGATAGCAAGACTCTCCATTAGTTTTACAAAGAACACATCAGTGTAGGGATAAGCACCAATTGGGTCTTTCTTTGGAGCAAATCACAAGTACTTATTCTTTCCAAGAACACTTCCCAATAGAAGCCTCTAATTCTAGGAGGGACAGGTTTACTCCAATCCTCCTTAACAAGGAAAGGTTGCCCCAAGCTATTAGAGGGCTAAGACCTTGAAAAAGGAAGCACAAGAGAAGGTACCAATGGAGGAATGAGTCCAAATTCAACTATCAGGTCTAGATGGATCCAAGAAAACCCCTTCAAGGATATGAATCAAAGCCAAGACACCATTTAATTCCAAACCCCTTAGACCCCTTCTTAAGCCTAAATTCCAATCAAAACCAATTCTTGAATTAGGAGCAAGAAAAGTGGAAATAAACTCATCTTTGTATCTTGAGAGGGCAAACAAAGAAGGGAATTGATCTTTCAAAGCAAGATCCCCCACCCAGACATGTTCCCAAAATCTTATCAAAATACCAGAGCACATATCATACCTATTACATAGTAAGAAAGAAGGTAGAATAGCATGGATGACCTTCTAAGGAGAAGCTCTTGTAGCCCTTGTCAGTACTCTAGCATCCCAACCATCCCTCACAAGCTTGTGAATGCTTACAGTTACCTTTGCCCATAATTTGTCCCTATCCTTAGGTAGTCTCCAAAGCCATTTGCCCAATAAAGCCACATTTCTTTTTTTGCAAATTTCCTAACCCTAGACCCCCATACTCCTTGCTTCTACTAACTATCTCCCATCTAACTCTATGATCCCTTTTCTCCTCAACTGACTCCCACAAGAAATCAGTCATCATCTTTTCTAGTTCTCTTCCCACCCTCTCTAGGTGGGAATTGGAGAGAGGGCTACATTCACCTTGGAAGTCCATTCATGCTATCCTACCTTCTTTTTTTACCACATGCCAGGTATAGTCTCTGTTTTGGAAACCTTGTTAAATTTTGGGAACATGTTTTGGTGGGAAACTCTTCCTTCAGGGAACAATTTCCACTCTTATATTCCCTTTTTGTGAGTTTGAGTTAAGTAGTTTCCTGTCTTTTCTCCAAGTTCTGGAAGGGGTTTTCTTGGATCCTTCAAAAGGGGATAATTGTATTTGGGCCCTTGCTTCTTCTGGTTCCTTTACTTGTGCAGTTGTGCCTCCTTTTTTTTTTTACCTTAATTCAACCTAGTGATAATCTAGGTCTACCTTTCCTATTTATGAGGTTTGGAGTAAACCTATTCTTCCTAGAATTGGAGGGTTTTTCTAGGAAGCTTTTTTGGAAAGAATTAACACCTGTGATTTACTCCAAAGAAAAGGACCTAATTGGTCCTTATCCCCTCATTGGTGGTCTTTATAAGGCTAATGGTGAGACTTACTATCACTTATTAATCTCCTCCCATTTGTATCTTCTATGTGGGGATTGGTTTCTCTCTTTGCTTGGGTGTAGGTGGAACCCCCTATCAAATGTACACAAGTTGCTATTTGTTGAACAATATGGGAAGAAAGAAATATGAGAATTTTTTTTTTTCAGGGAAGGAGAGGAGAGAAGTATTACTTGAAACCATTACCATCAGGGTGGTCCATTGGGTGAAATCCTGAATCTTTTCAAGGGCATATCTACTGATGACTTTCCTAAAAAGTCGAAGTGGCTGGTTCAGCCCCTTTTGCTGCTGTAATCAGTCTATATTTGGTCCTTGCTGATTGGTAGTTTCATTAAGTTGAACTTTGATGGAAATAATGAAGGAAATCCTGGTCCTTTAGGCACTGGAGGACTGTTTGGGAATGATGAAGGAAGAGTTCTTGCTTCTTTTCTGGACCAATCGGTATTATTGATGACTATTTGAGGGTTGAAATTATGGCTGTAATGGAAGGTGTTCAAAGGGCAAGGGAATTGAATATTTGGAAACTGATTATTGAAGGTGATTCAAAGTAAGTGATAGTTTGGCTTCAAAAGGAGGAGGTGAGGTGGTGGAATTATGTTAATTAAAAAAGAAGATTCAAGTGGATGACACTTGGCATGGAAATTAGAGTACAATGGGTGAAAAGAGATGCTAACTCCTTTGCTGATGCATTGGCTAAACAAGGGGTGGGAAGAGATCATCTTTTTTGGGCTTTGTTGTAACATGACTTCTTCCTTAGGGAGATYTAGGAGAGTTTATTTCTCCATATTTTGATTATATCTTTCTTACTTTTAATCATAATAAATTAATTCAGCTATTGATCTAAAAAACAGAAAAAAATGCCATACGATGTGCAATTATCACAATGCTCATTTTTCTTCATTTGTTTGTAGATATGCTTTTCTTTTTGGTTGTTTATTTGATTTCTTCTTTTGCATGTCTTAAAATACATAGTTCTAGAATTGATTACTAAATATTATAAGCTATTATGTAGGTAAGCCAGTTTATATGTACAGTATGGGAGGACTAGCAGAATATTGCGTTGTGCCTGCACATGCTTTAGCAGTGCTTCCAGACTCATTGCCATATACAGAGTCAGCTATTTTAGGTTGTGCAGTCTTTACTGCATATGGTGCCATGAGACATGCAGCTGAGACACGTGCTGGAGATTCTGTTGCTGTGATTGGTGTTGGTGGTGTTGGGTCAAGGTGAGGAGCCAAAAACATATTTGATTTATATTTGTAATTACTTATATGATAAATATTTATATCTATAATTGTCATCACACACACACACACTATTTATGTCATTTAGAGAACTATAGGCCTGGAAATTTTCCCCATGGCAGTGTCTTTAACTCTTCTTTTAATTTTCTATGGAGCATGTTTTGGGCTGAGAGCCCTGCTCTTTCCCAATCTATCCCTTACTGGATCTTTTTTGGAATATTACAGTTGGATCCTTGAATGGTTAACTTCATTTTGTGAAAGCTCCAATATAGAAAGGCATTTACAGGTGAACAGGAAGGTTGAACATGTTACATGTGGTCAATCTCAGTGGTATCTTATCTGATGGAGAGTTTCGATTTGCTAGATCATCTCTCACATGTCATGTTGTTGGCTGATTAGACAGGAAGTGGTGTAACTAAGGTGACTTCAGTAAGAGGTGGGTGGGGAGGAGTTGATGGCATTATATATGGTCTTAACTCTGCAGAGCAAACATTCTTTGAAAGATTGTTATTTGAAGACCAGAAAATTGCTAGTGGTGGGGAATTTTGAAGAACTATTAACTAAATTATACATTTTTACCCATTAAGCTCATGATGCAAACCATTTACAGAAGGTTATTCGCTCTTAAAACCAAAACATAAAATAGTGACTTGACTGGTTTCTCAGTCAATCACATATCCAGTTGGTCTGGTTGTGCTATTTTTGTTTTAGGTTTGCTATTTTTTACCACTTAAGTATGAATTAGCCCCTATTTTGAAAATGAAATGGTGTTCTATTTAATTGGGTTTTCAAAATCTTGTACATTGGTGTTTCTGAATAATTGTTGAAATTAGGCAAACTTTATAACCTAGAATTTTAGCCCCCTATAAAGGCTGCTTATTTGACTATTTTTAGAGAAGTATGAGAAAAATTAGGAGAAATTATCCCCTAAAATTTTGGCAAGGAGTATAAGAGCATCTCCTTGGAAAGCTATTCAAGCTATTTTACCTTTGTTCTTTCCATGGATCAGGTATGACTTGCACTCAGGCAATCTCATTAATTTTTTGGAACATGTTTGGATTGGGGATTCCTCCTTAAAAGACCAATTCCCAAGCCTTTTTGCCCTTTCCACTTTTAAAAATGAACCGGTGTCTTCATTCATTGTTCCTTCTAGTTCTATTTCTGGGGTCGGCTGGAACTTGGGTTTGCGAAGAGATATCAGGGACACAGAGCTTGATGGTATCTCATCACTGTTATCCATTCTTGAAGGGGTGTTCCTAGAGCCAACAAGGGCAGATAGTAGAATTTGGACTCTCACCCCCTCTGGTTCTTTCACTTGTGCCTCTTTCTTTAGTGCTCTCACACATTCTTCTTCTCCGGGCTTGTCTTTCCCTGTTAAAGAGGTGTGGTGTCATCCTATACCTCCTAAGGTTGGGAGTTTCTGTTGGGAAGCCTTTCTAGAAAGAGTTAACGCAGCAGATTTACTTCAAAGAAAAAGACCCAATAGTTGTTTTTGTCCTCATTGGTGTGTCCTCTGTAAAGCTGATGGTGAGTCTGGATATAACTTTCTAATCTCCTGTCGGTTCACTAACATCATTTGGGAGTGGTGTACTTCTTTGTTTGGGTGCAAGTGGACCCCCCTTCGAATGTGCAAAGCCTATTCACATGTATGCCATTTCGGCCAACAAAAAGGGCCAAGTTTATGTGGAGGTGTATGAGGGCTGCAGTCTGTTGGACTATTTGGGAGGAGAGAAATYCAYGAATATWTACAGATAAGGAGAGAAGTTTGGAAGCAATGCTGGAGGTCATCCACATTAAGGTTATACACTGGCTAAAAACCTTGGCTTTGTTCACAGAATTCTCAGTTGATGAGCTGCAAAGAAAGTGGAAGGAGATAGCAGAACTTGTTCCAATGAGGAAGGCCTCAAATGTTTGTTGGATCCCCCCACCCCATGACTTTGTTAARCTGAACTTTGATGGCAGCAGCTTGGGCAATCCAGGGCCATTCGGAATAGGAGTAATAAGAGATGAACAAGGGAAGCTGTTAGCTATGTATTCTGGACCAGTTGGGTGGGAGATTCTTTGAGAGCCGAGATTCTTGCAGCTCTTGAAGGGGTACAAAGAATCAAAGATATGCATATTAACAAGTTGATCATAGAAGGAGATTCTGAAGTGGTGGTAAACTGGCTGAAAGAGGATAGTCTTAGACTTTGGAATTACAGTAATGAAAAGAGGAAATTCAAGTGGCTGACTAAGGACATGGAAATATACAAAAGGGTAAAAAGAAGTGCAAACTCTTTGGCAGATTGTCTAGCTAGACAAGGGGTGAACAGACATTCTGTTTTTTGGGCTGTCTTGTAATTTTTGTTCTTTTGATGCTTAATGGTCGTTCTTGGGAGATAAGATTGTTTAGCCCCCTTGCCCTGTAATTTTCTCATATTTTTAATATTAATTCAATCCACAGTTATTGATAAAAAAAATCTTCTAAAATTTGGAGAAATTATGTGAGCATCTTGTTTCCAACGATTGTGAAATATTGTTGAAAAATTAGCCCCCAAAATTCTGAGGGGTTTTGGAAAGTTAGCCCCTTGGGAGTATCTTAAGTTTAAACTAATTACGCAAGAAATTGAACAATTCTTATGTTTTAAACTGTCAAATCTGGTATTGCGTGATGAGTAATACGAGATTATAAGAGTTTTTGAAATTAGCCTCCATGTTATTGGTGCGAAGCCACTAGGTGTATTGTTGAGTCAATATAAGAAGTGTCATGTTGTTGGTATTGGGGTAGTAGAGCTAAGCATACATGAATAAATAACATAAGGGATGTGAAGTGTAAGTCTATGAAACACGAGTATGCAAGTATGTGAAGTATAAGTTGTAGGTCACTAGTGTGAACTTGTTAAGTGTACTAGCATATGACATACAAAGCATTTGAACATTAGTTATAAGTATTAGCTTATGAGATGTGTGTGCATGTGAAGCATGAATGCATGAGTATATGAGCATAGTTGTCAAGGCGTCTAAGCAATTCTGAGCAACACTGGGGTGCCTTGTAATTTGAGAATTTTCAATGAGGAATCTTATATATTAAAGGGAAATACTGCCATTTGGCAAAAGGGGAGACCACTCCTTTTATCAAAAAAAGTAAATTATCCATTTGGCAAAAGGGGAGACCACCCCATTTCTGAAATTCAATTGTGGAGTAAATTATCCATTTATCAAAAAAAAGTAAATTGTCCATTTTCATAACCTAGCATTCAGATTTTAGACTTCAAACCAACAAAACAACACCTCATATGTATTTACTTTGGGAAATGAAGATGCCCTTCCTGGGTTAAGCAACCTAAATCCCTAAAACAAAACCATTAGGAGTAATAGTACATAATTTGGAAGGACATGCACCATGTTTCAAGTTTATTTCTTGACAATTGACTAGTGTTAGTTCTATAATATCTGGTATCTCTACAGTGAACATTCTTACTATCCTATGCTCCCTCCCTCTCACATCTTTTGACATCTTTCACTTTTGGTTCTATAATATCTGGCTTTGTAGACTTGGCAACCTGAATTCAGAGACTTTTTTTTTGAAGATGGTGCTTGATGAAAATTCCTGCCTTTTGTAGTTTAGTTGATAAATCTCATGTTGCTTGTTCTTTATTCAAAAATCATTTATCTAGCTTCTGTCATTCTCCTATTGGCACTTCACCATTTGATATTATTCATGGTAATATATGGGGGCTTGCATTGAGAATATCTCTATTGTGGTATAAATATTTTGTGTTATTTATTGATGTTTTCACAAAGGTTCACATGAGCATATTTTCAGTGGAAGAAATTCGAAGTGGTCTCATGTTTGAAAACCTATTATGTCATAAGACATTAGCACAGCTAGAGTAGCACCAAAACACATTAGCACCACCAGAGCAGATAAAGATCCTTTCTCACAAAAATTGTGGCGAGTCCTAGATTCTTAGGAGAGTAGTTATAGGTACTATTTTACTACTGATATTTGCATGCAAATATTTATATTTTGCAATATTAAGTTTTGTTGTGACCATGGCAGAAAATCTGTTTATTTTATTTATTTTTTGCATGGTAGATGAGCATGATACAGTTTATTTATATAGCTAAACAATGGGTCTATTGATCCTTTTATTCCTTAACAATAATATATGCTATTGTTATTTGTCACTTATCAGAAAAAAAAAACAATAAATGTTATGATCTTGATCAAGTTTGTATGCCATTTTGGCTGCTGATATGTTCATTTTGGTTGGTTTCTTTTCAACATGGTTATGACTAAATTGCATGTTGCAGTTGTTTGCAGGTAGCTAGAGCATTTGGTGCTTCTGAAATTATTGCTGTTGATATTCAGGATGAGAAGCTTCATAATGCAAAGATGCTAGGAGCTACTCACACCATAAATGCATTGAAGGAAGATGTTGTTGACAAGATAAAGGCACATAATCTATGCCATTCTCTATCTCTTTTCATTGGACGTCTTTTCTTCTGCTTGTTATGTGTAAAGATGTAGAGCAATAATTAGTGCTGTTATATTGCTGTCAGTTATATTACTGCTGTTAGTTATTTCCTGCTTTATGTTTGCTGTTAGGTTGCTGTTAGCAATGTTAGTTTTTGATAGTTATTTGCTTATGTAAGCAGTAGGGGCATTAGTGTAATTTCAGTCTTATATTTTAATGTTAATATAAATAGTGGAGTGGGGCAGCAACTAAAGGAGACCCACACACCCTTTTTCTCATCTCTCTTCTCTCCTCTCTCCTCTCTATTCTCTCTTCTTTCTTCTTTTCTTTTCATTGAATTTACATCAAGAATTGGACTGATTAGTCCTGATTTTCCAACTTGGTATCAGAGTGATCTAGGGTTTCTCATCTGTGTCTAATCCAGCCGACTACATGAGAACTTCCTAGGACTGGAAGTCTAGCAAGATCTGTCCATTGGCTGATTCTTGGAGGTTACCGGAAGGGTTTAGCAGTTGTCCAAGGGCTTGTAGAAGGCTTGGAGAGTGTCTGGTAATCAGGAAGAATCAGAGAAGAATAAGAAAGATCAAGATTAGGGTTCAAATTGAGATTGGAAGTGGTGATCAGATTTTTCTGGGTAAGTTTCTATTTTTCCTTGAGATCGACACCAGTGATAGCTTGATTAGACCTATCTAGGAGTGGCTGAGGTTTTCTCTGTTTTCTCAGTGTTTCTTTAGGGTTTTCTCTTGACCCTATGATCAGACCTGACTGTGACTTATTTATAAGGTGCAGCCGAGATTTTTTCTGTTCTCTCAGAGTTTTCCTCTTAACCAAGGTTCAAAGTATCAGCCGATATGTATCGTGTTGATGGCTTCCTGATATGCCCCTCCAGGGGTTGAATCGGGTCAGACACTGGTTCAGAGGGTAGTCGGGCCTTAAACTGACCCCTCTGAACTGGTTTCGAAAAAAATAAATAAAACCTAAAAAAAAGTACCGATACCGGCGTATGGGCCTGTGTCGATACTTTGAACCTTGCTCTTAACCCTACAATCAGACATGACTGATATCATTTTCGAATGAACCCTAAATCCCTTAGAGAAATGACAGGAGCTGAGTTTAAGACTTAAGGGAAAAGTGTTTTGGGGGCTGGAAACATGGCAGAGAACAGTTTTCAGATTACTACTGTTAAATTTGATGGTTCTAATTACTTGGAATGGGCTCAGTCAGCCATGATGGCAATTGGGGGCAGAGGAAAGTTAGGTTATATGAATTGGAGATATAAAGAAACCAGCCAAGGAAGACCTTTCATATATCAAATGGGTTCAAGAGAACTATTTGGTTAGGACTCGTCTGTGTAACTCTATGCAACCCCATATTAGCCGAAATTACTTGTGGGTAAAAACAGCTATAAGGAGATTTGGGAAATGATGGAGACCTACTCTCAGCCACTCAATGTTGCTAGGGCCTATGAGCTGAAATGTGAAGTAAATACTCTAAAGCAAGGGGAGAAGCCAATCTCAGTCTTTCTCCACCCTGAAATCTTTATGGCATGAAATTGATCACCTGGAAACTATTGATTGGGAAAGCCAAAAGGATGCAAACACCTATAGGAAACAGGTTGAAACCAATAGAATTTTTGAATTCCTAGCTGGTCTGAATTCAGAGTATGATGTTGTGAGACAATAGCTACTCACCAGGGATAGTGTGACCTAATCATGAAGAAATAGTTGGTTAGCCACAAGTGTGGGGTTCCATACCCACACTTAGGCTCTAGTGTGTGTGGTTCCGTACCAACACCTAGTTGTCTCTAATTTCTTTTATTAGTAGTTTCTAGTTTCTTTTTAGTAGTTTCTAATTTCTATTAAGTTGGGCAGGCTGGCCTTATTGTTTCTAATTTTTGTTTATTTCCAATTCTTGTAAGGATCCTAAAAGCTATAAATAAAGGAGTGTATGGGGCAGCAGATCATTCACTACTGAACCCCTTCTTTTTTTCTCCTCTCTCTTTCTCTTTCTCTCTCTTCTTCTCTTCAAACCTCTAATACAGTAAACAATTCTTCTTCTTTCAAGTAATCACAAGCCAATACTCTAGTGCATAGTGAAGAAAGTAGGAGAAAGGTTACGTTGAGCCTATGGAATCAGCTTTGGTAGCAGTTAAACCAAAATTTGGGGGTGACAAGGAAAATGACATAAAGGAGGATAAGAAGGATGTTGTTAGATTTAAGTTTTTTACTTCTGATGTTAGAATGCTGTCAACCTAGGCTACTGTCAGCATGTTCTTTTCTTTATTTTTAGGGTGTGTGCCAGGGACCTTCTTGTAATTCTTTATATTTTATTTGTTATATCACATTAAGATAAAATAGAAGCTGGGTGCCACCATCCCTGTTCTTTTGACTCATATAATTTTTCTTCCTCTTCTCTTCTTCTCTCTTCTCTCCTCTCTTCTTCCTCTTTTCTTGTAAGAGAACATGGTATTAGAGCACAACTATGGGCAATAGGAGTTGTTTTTTCCGCTGAATTGTATCCATTCGACCCAGGCGTCAGATTTCTTGGACTATGAAGACAAAAAGCCTAATTGGACTGATCAGAACTATTTTTTGTCACTTCTTCTAGGTTCTTCCTTGGTCTTAGCACCAAGGTAACCCTAGTAGGAGGAGGCCAATGCTGTGAAGCTTCCTTATTTTCCTTTCGCTGATGCTGTGAAGGCTCAATCGTGATTTTTGCACCTTCATACAGGTGCTGTACAGGGGTGTGTGATCCCCTTTGTCACAGGTATGTACTGCATTTAAATTGGTGTGTGAAGTGCCGAGATTACAGCAGTATACTCCTTATTCCTGGACTGTTTAGTTGCTGCCAGTAGCCCTTCAGTATTGTGTGCCTGTTTTCAGAAGCAGTGTGTGGAGTTTTGTGCCCTAATTGTGACTGTTAGAAGTAGTACTGGTGTGAGGACTGGTCTTGTGCACCTGCAGTTTTGTTTTTTGACTTGTAGACCTGCCTTTGAAAGTGGTGAATGATGATTCTGCCTCATCTGGGGTTACATTAGCCCATAGGACAGCAGGTATGGGGACTGAAGGTATGATGTTCCCTATGCCAATTACTCCTTTAAATGGTCTGAACTATCTAGAGTGGGCCAAAGTTGTAAAACTTTATGTAACAGCAAGGGAAAAAGTTGGTTACACAAATGGAAGGGTGAAAGAACCCAAGAGTGGGACTGCTGAATATGATCGGTGGGACCAAAAAAACAGTATGGTGATGTCCTGGCTTCTTGCAACCATGGAATTTGATGTGAAAAAGAACTTTATGTGGGCAGCCACTGCAAATGAGATATCAGAACAGGCCAAAAACCACCTATTCTGAGCAAAGGCACTATGCTAAGATCTACCAGTTACAAGCTGAATCCTCAACCTATAAATAGGGAAACCGTAGCTTATCAGCCTATTATTCAGCCCTGACCTCAGTATGGAAGGAATTGGAACACTATCAGGCTATAGAATGGAAACATGATGATGATGCTAGAGCTTTTAAGAAGCTGGTTTCTCAACTGCGGGTTTTTGCCTTGTTGGGACTAAACCCCATATATGAACCCCTTAGAGTTTAGATTTTAGGAAGTAAAGAGTTGCCATCAGTTCAAGAGGTGTATTCCCTTGTTCAGTTTGACGAAAGTAGGTAGAGTGTGATGGTTACAACTGAGGGGGAGCAACAGGTAGCATTAGCTGCAATGAGTGGAAATAATATGGGAAAGAAAAGTGACTCCAGGACTGATGATAAGGATAAGTTGTTCTGCACCCACTACTGTCGTTTAAGATATACATGTGACACATGTTGGGGTCTCCATGGGAGACCAAAGTGGGCTGTAAAGAACCAAAAATAGGGTAAGGTACAGGGTTAGAAGAAGCCTAATACAGCACACAATGCAGCCAATGTGGTAACTCAAGAAACTCAGTTTGTTGGGGTGCCAACTGATACTACTCGAGAGCACTTCATTGGTTCTGACCACAAGGAAGACATTATGATCTTCTCTAGTCACTTGGAATCATGTGGTAGGGCCTTGCGCCAGATGGACAAATCAGCTACTAGTAACCTTTCTACTTACAAAGGTGTGAAAGGACAAAAGTGCCCCTCACATTACAAAGAAAGAAAAGAAAAGAAATAATATACAAAAGGATGTACAATGTATACATAGTCCCACAAGGGGAATCACCCCATATCTCTACACCCCCCTCAATCTGATGCCTAGGAATAAACATTAGTTTATCACTGAGAAATTGATATCGAGCATGTGTTAAAGCTTTGGGGGGTGAAGAGATCTGCCAGTTGAAGACCCGAAGACACATGTGGAAGAGTGATGTTACTAGCAAGATATCGACCCCTAATAAAATGGCAGTCAACTTCAATATGTTTGGTTCTTTCATGAAATATCGAATTGGAGGCAATCTTGATTGCATTAACATTGTTCGCATAGAGAGGGATCGAGGAGGGATAAAGAAGGACAAGATCATCTAAGAGAGTGTGCAGCCACACCAACTCACTACAACTAGAAGACATGGTATAATACTTTACTTCAGTGGAGGATTTAAAGACAATTTGTTGTTTCTTACACTTCCATGAGATCAAAGAATCTCCAAGAAAGACACACCATCTAGTGTTTAGGCACCCAATGCAATCTGCATCTACATAAGCCTTAAGAGTAAGCAGGGAAGATAAAGAGAAGAGGCCATGAGATAGAGTCCACCGAACATATTGGATAGCTTGAAGAATTGTTGATAGAGCTTCCAATAAATACAAACTAGTTAACAATTTGAATGGCATATGAGATGTCTGACCAAGTCATTGTTGTGATATATAAAACTAACAACAAGACATCAATAATTAGTAGCACTAGGAAGAGGTTCACCATCCTCCTTAGAGAGTTTATGATTAAGTTCAAGAGGAGTAATGAACTGTTTATCATCTGTCAAGGAGACTGAATTTACCAAATAGGGAG